ATATTTTTATTGTCTAGAAAGGCTTCTTTTCTATCTAGAACATCCCCAAACATCATTTCTGGGCCTATTTTCAATAAAAATAAACCATGAAGAAAGTTCAAATTTCTGACCAAGATGATGGGTTAACCTCTTTGGAAAATATTCAGTTTTTCGACTATATAAAACACATATTTTTTTTATAGTGTAGGACAGCGTCTTTTGTTTTCAGAACATCCCCAAACATCATTGCTGGGCCCATTTTAATTAAAACACACAATCAAGAAAGTTGAAATTTTTGACCAAAATTATGGGTTAACCCGTTTGGAAAATATCCAGNACATATTTTTATTGTCTAGAAAGGCTTCTTTTCTATCTAGAACATCGTTAAACATCATTTCGGGGCCTATTTTTAATAAAAACAAACCATGAAGAAAGTTTGAATTTTTAATCAAAATCATGGGTTAACCCCTTTGGAAAATTTCCGATTTTGCGGACATATAAGATGCATATTTTTATTGTCTAGAAAGGCTTCTTTTCTATCTAGAACATCCCCAAACATCATTTCTGGGCCTATTTTCAATAAAAATAAACCATGAAGAAAGTTCAAATTTCTGACCAAGATGATGGGTTAACCTCTTTGGAAAATATTCAGTTTTTCGACTATATAAAACACATATTTTTTTTATAGTGTAGGACAGCGTCTTTTGTTTTCAGAACATCCCCAAACATCATTGCTGGGCCCATTTTAATTAAAACACACAATCAAGAAAGTTGAAATTTTTGACCAAAATTATGGGTTAACCCGTTTGGAAAATATCCAGTTTTTCGATTTTATGAAATACATTTTTTATACTCAAGCAAGGCCTCTTTTTTATGTAGAACATCCCCAAACATCATTTCTAGGCCTATTTTCAAAAAAAACAAACAAGGAGAGTTTGAATTTTTGACCAAAATCACGGATTAACCCCTTTTGAAAATATCCGAATTTTCGACTATATAACTGATAGATATTTTCAAAGTCTCATAAGGCTTCTTTTTTATCTAGAACATCCCCAAACATCATTTCTAGGCCTATTTTCAATAAAAACAAATAACGAAGAAAGTTCAAATTTTTGACCAAAATCATGGGTTAACCCCTTCGCAAAATATGCAGTTTTTCGACTATATAAAACACATTTTTGGATAGTCAAGCAAGGCTTTTTTTTTTATCTAGAACATCCCCAAATGTCGTTACTAGGCCTATGTTCAATAAAACTAACAATGAAGAAAGTTTGAATTTTTGACCAAAATCATGGGTTAACCCTTTTGGAAAATAACCGATTTTTTGACTACAAGAAATAAATATTATTGAAGTCTACAAAGGCCTCTTCTTTATCTAGAACATCCCCAAACATCATTTCTAGGCCTACCCCTTTGGAAAATATGCAATTTTTCGCCAAAATAAAACATATATTTTTTATCCTGTAGGACGGCTTCTTTTCTTTAAAGAACATCTCCGAATATAATTTCTAGGCCCTTTTTTTAAATAAAAAGCTAACAATGAAGAAAGTTCGAATTTTTGACCAAAAGGGTTAACCCCTGTGGAAAGTGTCCCATTTTTCGACTATACAAAACATATTTATTCATTGTGTAGAACGCCTTCTTTTCTTTCCAAAACATTCCCGAACATCATATCTGGGCCCTTTTTAAATAAAAACACACAATCAAGAAAGTTCAAATTTTTGACCAAAATCATGGGTTAACCCCTTTGGAAAATATCCAGTTTTTCGACTATATGAAGTACATTTTTTATAGTCAAGCAAGGCTTCTTTTCTATCTCTAACATCCCCAAATGTCGTTACTAGGCCTATTTTCAATAAAAGCTAACAATGAAGAAAGTTCGAATTTTTGACCAAAATCATGGGTTAACCCTTTTGGAAAATAACCGATTTTTTGACTATATGAAATAGATATTTTTGAAGTCTAGAAAGTTTTTTTTTTCTCTCTAGATCGTCCCCAATCATCATTTCTAGACCAATCATGGGTTAACCCCTTTGGAAAGTATCCCATTTTTCTACGATATAAAACATGTTTTTTTATTGTGTAGAAGGCCTTCTTTTCTTTTCAAAACATTCCCGAACATCATTTCTGGGCCTATTTTCAATAAAAACACACAATCACTGAAGAAAGTTTAAATTTTTGACTGAATCATGGGTTAACCCCTTTGCAAAATATCCAGTTTTTCGACTATATGAAATACATTTTTTATAGTCAAGCAAGGCCTCTTTTCTATCTAGAACATCCCCAAACGTCATTACTAGTCCTGTTTTCAATAAAAACAGACAATAAAGAACGTTCGAAATTTTGACAAAAATCATGGGTTAACCCCTTTGGAAAATATGTGATTTTTCGACTATATAAAACACGTATTTTTTATCGTGTAGGACGGCTATCATTTCTTTCCAGAACATCCCCAAACATCATTTCTGGGCCTATTTTTAATAAAAACACATATTCAAGAAAGTTGAAGTTTTTGACCAAAATCATGGGATAACACCTTTCCAAAATATCTAGTTTTTCCACTTTATGAAATTCATTTTTTATAGTCAACCAAGGCCTCTTTTTTATCTACAACATCCCAAACGTCATTACTGGTCCTATTTTCAATAAAAACAAAGAATAAAGAAAGTTAGAATTTTTGACCAAAATCATGGGTTAACCCCTTTGGAAAATATCTGATTTTTCGACTACATAAAACATGTTTTTTTATTGTGTAGAAGGCCTTCTTTTCTTTTCAAAACATCCCCGAACATCATTTCTAGGCCTATTTTCAATAAAAACACACAATGAAGAAAGTTCAAATTTTTGACCAAAATCTTGGGTTAACCCCTTTGGAAAATATGCAGCCTTTCGACTATATAAATTACATTTTTTTATAGTCAAGCAAGGCTTCTTTTCTATCTAGAACATCCCCAAACGTTATTACTAGGCCTGTTTTCAATAAAAACTAACAATGACGAAAGTTTGAAGTTTTGACCAAAATCATGAGTTAACCCCTTTTGAAGATATCCGATTTTTTGAATGTATGAAATAGATAGTTTTGAAGTCAAGAAAGGCTTCTTTTCTATCTAGAATATCCCCAAACATTATTTCTAGGCCTCTCTTCAATAAAAACAAACAATGAAGAAAGTTCAAATTGTTGACCAAAATCATGGGTTGACCCCTTTGGAAAATATTCCATTTTTCGACTATATAAAATACATATTTTTCGTTGTTTAGAAAGGCTTCTTTTGTTTCCTGACATCTCCAAACATCTTTTCTATGCCTATTTTGAAGAGAAACAAACATCAAAGAAGGTTCAAATTTTTGACCAATTAATTAACAATTAATGAATGAGGCTGAGTATCTTATGAAGAATTATTTAGATCGAGGAGGGTGTTATCCTTCGAGGCCGTAGGCCGAGGCTGATAACACCCTCCAAGATCTCCATAATTCTTTATATGATACGAAAGCCGATTTCAATAATTGTTTTATTATTCATTCAAAATAATAATTCCTGGTTTAAAAGCAAAGCTAAAACATGCTTACCTCCATCGATGTTAAGTTCACCTTCGATAGTGCACGTTTAGGGTTTTTCAGCTCCGCAAATGTTTTCCAAATAGCAGATGTCGCCCTTCGAGTGCTGTTCTTGCTTTTCTTGTCATGTTTTTAGCTATAATTTCGCCTAGTTCTTACTCTTGTAACGAGTGAAACGTCCGCCATTTTTGTTTTCACAACCAAAACAACTCAACTTCGTTCCCAGGTCTTCTCGGTTACGGTGCCTTAACCTGCAAGAACGCTGCATTTTTGACGTCATTTCCTCGTTAAACACAAAATTCTTCAAAATTTGGTCATCAGTAACTGATTATGGTGAATTATGCGTGTGCTTTTAGCCAATCAGAATCGGGGAAATATTTTCAATGAATAATAACCCCTTTTAAAAATATCTTACAATGGGCAGCTGGGAACCCAAAGCCGGAATACGTTGTACAGCCGGCGTTAGGTACGTACTATTTTTAATCAGTTGGGTTTTCTTTGCACTCTAATGTGAGAAACGCACGTGACTTCGCCCTGAGCTAAGACTGGTCCCCACTTGGGGAGGAGCGTTGCGTGACGACACAAAAAGCGGCTGCGAAGGAGACTACTACTTTTCCATAATCAGCTAAGAATACGAGTGGACAAAAAGTACAGGAACATCTGCTTTATCATTTAAACAGTCAAAATTTTATTGTCATTATATTATATCCATCATCGCTTATGTACAAGTCACTCATATAAGTACATTATCAAAATAAAGCGCTGGCCTACCTCGCTTGACGAATTTCTTGATGAAGTGAGGAAACCAACACAAATTGCGTGACTGCTGTAATATTTTTAATTTAGAGAAAATGTATGGGAATATCGAAAAGGTTCATATTATCGTGATGTAATGCGAAGAAACCTAAAATGTAAGGTCAAAATAGACATCTTTTTGCATAGTAGAGAGTCTCTGTACCACACACTCTGACTCAGATGAACGTTTTCAGCTGCAAGAACGACAATACGCAACATTTCAGGTAAAAAGATGTCTATTTTGACCTTATACACGAGATGTCATCGCATTATATCACGATAATATGAACCTTTCGATATTCCCATACATTACAACGGTCACACAATTTGTGAGGGTCTCCTCTGATTTGGTAAGAAGGTATTACGTAATTTAAGTGTTTGTGATTTTTAATCGACTTAAGTATTCTGCAGTTAATCCTTTTAATCAACTGTGTCATAAGACGATTATTTCCAAGTATAACTTGTATTTTCCACTGGTCACCTTTCCTATAAAATACTTTAACAGCAACAGCGTTGCGTGACTGCTAAGAAATAAAAGGAGACTTCAGAGTCCGCACGCGAAGCGATTTTATTCATCCCCCGAGATTGCTTGTTCGGTCTATCGCTCTTGTACACTTCTGTTCTCTCGATTCAAATTTTCAAGTAACTTACTCGTTCAGTTTAATTGCAGACTACATTAGCTGTAAACCATCGACGTGATCCAACATATACGAATATTTTATCGCGCGCCGCAGACAAAACGTGAACAGAATCGCAAGAACGTGTATTGCCATTACACCAGCACCCAGACTGATCATAAATAAAAGATGACGCGAGAAGAACTCTCTCAGTCGCAAACAGCCTTCAGTGTGTACAAACATTTGTGCAGGCTTTCCTGGCGTGTCCAAATCATTTCCACAACTTGAATCGTCCGTGGTGTTACTGAGACAACACGATCGCGGCACGTTGTTCACCCAATGATTCACGCTTTTGTTTTGGCGTTGCACGTTCCACCGCGAATCAAACCAGTCTTTGTAGCTGTTAGAGCCACAGCAGTCGTACTTACGCTGTACTCGATCGATGAGATCTTGAATACTTTTGTCGCTCTCGTATTTGCTTAGTATGTCGTTCAGAAAATCCTGGAGGAATTTACCGACGCTAAAATGCGCAAAGTACAGCCACAAACCCAGTGATACTTCAGCGATCAATAGCAAGATCAACAAATAAGAAAACACCTTCAGGGTGTAATAGTTTTCTCTAATGGCTCCGTAACACCCAGCAAAGCCAAGAATCCCAATCACTATGCCTACTCCTACAAGGATGGCAGTGGCAGAAGTGAAGCCTGCCTGTGTAATGTCTTTGTAGTCGCCATACAGCAGCTCTCCCAGACCGCCGATCACAACCAGAGACACTCCAGTTAACCAGAATATGGAGTTGAAAAAGAACATTAAATATTTCACCCAACGCATTTTACCGATCACTCTGTTCCTCATTGTAGATGGCTTCTGATCTGTGGCTTGATGTTCCAGGTTAAAAATGCTGCGTTAAGTCTCCTCTTGTGGCTTGTAACAAGACTGCAAGCTGGTTGTCTCAATTGCGAAATGACTGTGAAACTCGATATTACCTGAAATCGGCTCAGCTCGAATTAACATGTACGCGCGCTCTGCTCTGAGAAATTATTAGCTGACATCTCTTCTGATTGGCTACCCTGGCTCCAGGGGTCTGTTGCCAGGATGAAATAAGGGACGGACCATTAGAAAAGTTATGGGGGGAGTGGGGAATTTTTGAGCCGCAGGAATTTTTTTTCGTTGTCAAATTCCTCGTATGAATTTTTTTTAGGCCGTAGCATGAATATTTTTTACGGTTAATTGGCGTGCATGAATTTTTTTTCATTTAATTTTCCCTTGCGCGAATATTTTTTTTGTACTTCGCCCGCCCTCCCCTCCCCATAAGTTTTCTAATGGTCCGTCCCTAAACCGTGCGATGTCCGTATTTGTTGCAGTTTTTGTAGCCTGCGTAGCTGGCGGTATTTTTTAGTAGTCGAGTGAGATTTGGCGGCGGAGCCGTTGTAATATAGTCGAGTGAGATTAATGTCGGTTGTTTTCTCTGACTACAATGAAGGAAAACATTTTTAATTTCAATTTTTTGAACTAATGTACAAAGTTCCAACTGTTAAATAATGGTTATTTTAAATTTAGACATAGTGTCTAACCATATACGTTTATTTTTGGAGGGCTTGGCAAGAAGCATCCCTGCTAAACGATATAGCCAACTAGTGTACGTGTAATCTGCGAATAAGTCAAGTTTTCTCAGTCTTTCCCAAAGCACTGCTATTACTCATGTACCCAACCAAGCAAACAGGCTAATATCCAAGGGTATATTATACAGTTCACATCCCTGGCTGGAGGTGTACATTCTAAAGTCAATCTTAATTTATGTCGCCAAAACTTATAACCTATTCTGGGTCAACTGACCTCAGAGTAAATTGAAAGATATTGCTACAAAACGAAGCAAGACTCAAATCTGGCAGAGTTGAGCTACCGCTTACAACTGAAATAAAAGCGGTCAGACGGAGGCCAGAAAAAACCTGCCCCATTGCAAAAAACCCCGAGGGGAAAAAATGCGGGCAGGAAATCTGGGTAGGAACCAAGGCTCAAGCTCCATAGTCCTTCCTACGGGACTTTTACATGATAAAAAGAAACGGCCGCCTAAAACGAAATGCCTATATTCATCGAAATGTTTCCTGTAAAAGTAACTTAATCTTGATCTCATCTACTGATATGGTTTTGAAGAGGACATAAATTCCTGCAGCATTTAAAGTTGCATTTTCATTCACTGCTCTTTAGGGTCCAATCCTCCTGTTCCACATTCAGTGCCTTGTTCTTACAATCCAGTTTTTTTTTCACAGAACAACAATTCCGATAAGTTCCGCTTCTCTGTTAGATGCGACACTATATTGGGGCTCAAGGTTCTCTTTCCTTGTTTAGCTCTTAATTACGAGAAAGAAAATTAAAATTGTCCATTAATTATCGGATGTTAAGAATGTAAATGGCCGTATATGAGCATCCAGTGTTAACCACATCTATTGGTAGCTGGCATAGGTTATGTGGGAAACGTTTAATATGTTAACATGAATTATCAACAACAATGCAGTACGTTGGGCTAATTTGGACCCAAGGATTGAAAAACGTCCCAGCGTGGGCTGGAATAGGCTTTTTAAAGGGCTCTTTTTGGTTGAAATTGAGTTCAAATGGCCATGAAAGGCTGAATCAGACTTTGGTCTTTACGGGGCGCTAAATTGAAACTTTGGTGTAATCTTTTCACCCCCTTCAACAGAATGTATCAAGCAACCCTCTCCAATTCTTGGTTTGCAAACCACGTGACAAGGCGGCCATGTTGAAGGTCAATACAATAGAATTTTTCTTGAAGAATTTACATGAAAACAGAGTTAAGTTACCAGAGGAGAAAAATGCTTTTGTTCTTGACCTCCAATATGGCCGCCGTGACGTCACGTGCAAACCAGCAATGGCCTCTCTTCTCCTTGGTATTTCTCCTTCAACAGTGACTGAAAAAAGCCTTTCCCGGGCCTTTTGACAGACATTTTACTGAGTAAGGTTTTTCCGTTATTTTTCTTGGCGAAAGACTTGTAAACCTACTTCGATTCAGTGTGGCCGATGTTTTATCCCTGATGTCCTTGTCCAGTTTACTAATCTTCCTCTTCCACTTTCTTACTCTTGTCCTTTTAGTTTGGCAGATCTTCATAAAACAAAGAAGCATTATAAATTAGCTTTTAAAACTCTGTAAACTGCCCCCTTAGTCTCAGATCTAAAATAGCAATTGGACACTAACCACTACAATTGATTTGATTCGCTGTATTGGCAATAACAAGGAGAATTCTAAGGTAAGAATAACAGTTTTATGGGTCCTGGCTGATATCGCATAATTCTTCCACAAGTTCAGTGCAAGGGAAAATAATGTTTAGGCTGTTTACGGACGCTCCTCTTCCGCATTTTTTCCTCAGAGGAGGCTGTAAAGTGATGGCAATCTTATTGCTGAGATCCCACAATTGCCTACGCACT